AAATGTATCCTTTGTTCTGCAGGGATTACGGTAGCTTCTGTAGGGGATTACGGTAGCTTTGTTCCCCGTCGGGATTACTTTATCGGATTAGTTATATTGAAAAGAGAAGGAGAAGAAGCTACCTATAATCAGGAAGTTTTCAGGCAGTTTACGCTCGTCGAATCCACGAAACTTTTGCTATCCCGTGGCTCGGATTCGGCAAAGATCGAATCAATTCTTCAAACTTTATCAAAATTGGCTCAAGTTTGAAGAAAACAAGAAATTTATCGTTTTTTCGCACAGGATAAAATCTTCGTTTACGCTTTTGTGAAAAGCGAAACACTGGGAATAATGTACGAGATGTTGGCGAGGGAATTGGATAAGCTGTGAGTGAATTGGATAAGCTGTGAGTGGATTGGATAAGCTGTGAAAGCTGCTAGAAACAGAGCTAAACTAGCACTAGGATTTACGAGAGTTAGAAGTCTAAACACCCTTGTTTCTTTTTTGCAGAAGTTTCCCAACGATTCAACTCCTTCTCCAATCGCTTTACTCGATGATGGAGTTGAACGTCGACGGGCTCAGCTGGGAAACGATTCCCGAGGATGTTCGTTTAAGGATTAAGTTTAAGGAAATGATCTAGCGTCGAGATTGCTTCAAGCTTACTTTAAGCTTTACTTTAAATCCCAATTTCTAGGTTTTACTTTCATTGTGCCGTTTGGTGACGGGTAGAGCGAAGAGCGAAGACGCACAATCCGTGCTTTTCGCTGAGTGGAGTATCGAGCAGATATTGAACACGACCAAGTGAGAAAACTATATAAGACAAGTATTGTAGAGCATTCTAGAGCATTCTAGAGCATTCTAGAGCATTCTAGAGCATTGTAGAGCATTGTAGAGTATTGTAGAGTATTGTAGAGCATTCTAGAGCATTCTAGAGCATTCTAGAGGCAATCGACTTTTAGTTCACTAAAAACAATTTTCAGCATTACTCTTCACGAGCGGATTTTCGCGGAGGTTCCCTTTATCTCACTGATTCGGCATCTGGATCGGTTTGTGGAAAAATTTGATGAACTTTTACGTGGCTCAGTTTTGTAATTAGTCTAAATGACGATTTGATTACGGTAAAATTTGCATTTACAAGTCAAACCCATTTACTATTTCTTCTTTGCGGCTGTTTGAAATCACAAGAATCGACATGGAAGCTGTGATCACGCCTCTGATACAAGACTCCTAAACATTCGGCTGTGGCGGCATGGGATGAAGCTATGGAGCAAGGGATGAAGCTATGGAGCAAGGGATGGAGCTATGGAGCAGGGATCGAGCTCTGGAGCAGGGATCGAGCTCTGGAGCAGGGATCGAGCTCTGGAGCAAGGGATGGAGCTATGGAGGAAGGGATGGAGCTATGGAGCAAGGGATGGAGCTATGGAGCATGGGATGAAGCTATGGAGCATGGGATGCAGCTATGGAGCAAAGGATGGAGCTATGGAGCATGGGCTGGAGCTATGGAGCATGGGATGCAGCTCTGGAGCAAACCATGCAGCTCCGGAGCAAGGGAAAAACCTCTCAAAACCTCACCCAGACGTTTTTCTGGTTTGTCCAGCTGGATCGAAATCATCGTGCGAGGCCTCTCGACTTCTGATCTCATCACCGACACAATGCATGCATGGGATCAATCGCTGCCGACCAAGAGATCACCAGCGGACGAGTGCACAAAACGGGTGCCCAGTGAAGGGTACCTAGGAAATGGAGTGATGGCTAGAATAGCCTTCATTTTAGATCTTACCTTGAAACTTTGAATTTCCCCATAAAAATCCTCAAAAATCTCCTCAAAAAATCCCCATAAAATCAGTACGAAAATTCTTGAAAAACAACTTAAACAAGTCAAACTCATTTACGATTTATTGCTTGCGACTGTTTGAAATTACAAGAATTGAAATGGAAGCTGTGACGTCACTGCTGTCACTGCTGTCACTGTGACGTCACTGCTGTCACTGCTGTCACTGTGACTGTCACGCTTCAACAATCACTTCAACAATTCTCTCAATCAAACAAAAATCAAGCAACTTTCAAGTGATGCATTTAAAATGGCAAATTTCAAATTTATTTCAAATTTCAGTTTCAATTCATTTCAATTTTCAATTCAATTCAAATACAAATTCGTGCTTATAAATGCAAATTGAACTAAGCAAAGTAAGCAGCGTAAATACCAAATCTCTTTATAATAAGTTGGAACTAGAGTAGACCAAAAATCTGTGCGCCGCCGGGAGTCGAACCCGCCACCTTTCACTTATCACCCAATTGTGCTAACCACTAAACCACAACGCAGCTGATTTCCCCTACTGATAACTCTATAGTACGTTTAGTATCTAAAAAATTTCACCAAAACTGTTTTTAAATCGATTTTAGATCTGACGAGCGCGTTTCCCTTGCCACGCTGACGCTAATGAACACAATACACCGGAAAGCGGATGTTCAGCTGAAAAACACGATTTTGGTGAGGGTTACGGTGGTCTAAATGACGATTTGATTACGGTAGTTTGAGTTGGATTAAATTGGTTGGTTGGTTGGTTGGTTAAAAAATTAGAAACGAGCTTTATTTGCATTGCGATTGCAGGATGACCTCGGGACAGCGCCATTCCGTAACGCGATCTCGCATTCGGTGCTGCGCGATGGACGGGCAAAAGATCGAACATTCACCGCGCAACTCATCCCAATTCAGGTTTTATGCCGAAATCTTTTCTATTTATTTAAAGCAATTCTTTTTGAGCTATCTGATCGTATATTTAAATTACAGAGACTTCTCCTTGAGAAGCAAAACATTTTGGCGAAATTGCCCCCATCAAGAGACGATATCAACACGTTGGAGGTCACTTTTAGCACATTCACAACGTTTTAACACATTTACGGAGTTGTACTAGTGACGATTATTGTACTAGAGTTTTTTTTGGTGTCATTGATTTAGTTTTTAAGGAATTTGTTATTTATTTCGGAGAAAGTTCTCGGTAACTTTGAATCTCTTTAAAAACTAGTACAAAGTTACCGAGAACCCCGAAATAAATAACAATAATAAAATAAATACAGCCGCGTAGTCGTTACCGTTTTACTGATAGTTTAAGGTAAATTCAAAGATTAACTAAACTATTATAGTCATTCGATAGCTCTGAATCTCTTTAAAAACTAGTACAGAGCTATCAAATGACTATAATAGTTTAGTTAATCTTTAATTACCATAAAGGGGGTATTAATCGCGGCCGGGTGACGATAAAAATTTTTTTACGGCAACCACCTGTTTTTTTGTTTTAATATCGCTGATTTTATTATAAAAAGAATAAAAATCACCCGGCTAGAGTGATTTGATGGGTTTACAAATTTTTGGAGACACTGCAAGGCTTGGAGAAAAACAAGATCGTCACTCATCAGACACCTCAGCTAAAAGGCACCTATTTGAGAAAACTAAAACCATAAGCGACCACAAATGAAAAAAGATCTAATTGTGTCAATCAAAGCGCTGAAGACGTCCTACGAAAATGGAGGAGAAAGATGGAGGAGATCCAGTCACTTTTGGTGAAGATGCGCTGGAAATTGATAAGATAGGAAGCCGATTTGTACTGCTGTACTTGCGCGAAGATGAAAGTGAGCAAGAGGAAGAATTATAGATTAACAATTTATTTTTATTACTTTTTGTGCTTTTTATTTTGTTTTTAAATTTATCTGCAACTAAAACTCAATCGATCTAGACTGTGTCTGATGAGTGACGATCTTGTTTTCCTCCAAGCCTTGCAGCATCTCCAAAAATTTGTAAACCCATCAAATCACTCTAGCCGGGTGATTTTTATTCTTTTTATAATAAAATCAGCGATATTAAAATAAAAAAACAGGTGGTTGCCGTAAAAAATTTTTTATCGTCACCCGGCCGCGATTAATACCCCCTTTAAACTATCACTAAAACGGTAACGACTACGCGGCTGTACGCTCAAAATACCTTCGTGTTAATACTGTAGTGCCTTCCAAAAAATGTCAGTGTTGGTCTGTAAGCTAGGTGAGGGATTTGAAATGTTTAAAGATGAGAAGTAGTTTAAATGGCGGTTCGATTACGGTAGATAATGAAACTTAAAATTAGAAAACGATCAAAAATTATAAAAGGTTAGGCCATAGGACAAGCACAGCCCTTGAGCCAGGGCCGATTCTCAAAGCCACCTTTCTCAGGAGCCTATGGTGTAGCAATTTGATTCTAGGACTAGGCCTGATTCCGGCCAAGCTACCAGGACTTGACTTTAAAAAAAAAGCCTTGCCAAATGTGCTTTAGAGTCTCGATTGGTTCACTCGCTACGCATCCACGAATCTACAATCGACTTTCGAGGCCGGTCAACACGGAAAGCTCTTGCCGATCGCGATGCGCGCCTCGGCACAACAACTTGCATTGGTAGCTTAAGCAAATCTAGCATAGCAGGCAAATTAAGAATATCTAGAAACACAGAAGTTAGTAACTATTTAACCCAACTTAACCTGAAATTGTTTAAGTTGAGTTTATACGGCACGGATTCAAAACAATGGAGTGAAAGAAGCCGAAAAGAAAATGAAAAAGAATTTTAGATGTATTAGAATTTTAAAGAAAAAACTATGGGCAAATAATATAAAAAAGAGGAAACGAACGAGGAGAGTACTTTAAAACGCGCTATAAAAAAAAGATTTTACGAAAGAGAAAGAGATGAAGGAAGATGAAGGAAGATGAAGGAAGATGAAGGAAGATGAAGGAAGATGAAGGAAGATGAAGGAAGATGAAGGAAGATGAAGGAAGATGAAGGAAGATGAAGGAAGATGAAGGAAGATGAAGGAAGATGAAGGAAGATGAAGGAAGATGAAGGAAGATGAAGGAAGATGAAGGAAGATGAAGGAAGATGAAGGAAGATGAAAGAAGATGAAAGAAGATGAAGGAAGATGAAGGAAGATGAAGGAAGATGAAAGAAGATGAAGGAAGATGAAGGAAGATGAAAGAAGATGAAGGAAGATGAAGGAAGATGAAAGAAGATGAAGGAAGATGAAGGAAGATGAAGGAAGATGAAGGAAGATGAAGGAAGATGAAGGAAGATGAAGGAAGATGAAAGTAAATGAAATAAATGAAGATGAAAGTAAATAAATGAAGGAAAACGAAAGTAAATGAAATTGAATGAAAGTAAATGAAATAAATGGGAGTGGGACAATGCGACCTTTCTTTGCGCACTTTTTTTCCGTACTTAGCCCATTAGCGACCGTTTTCGCGTTTTGGAAGCTCTAAGCTAATATTAACTAATTTCTATTCCAAAAAGTTGTTTTTCTAGGTAATTTTAGGGCGTAGAATCGAAATTTTGACATATCAGAGCTTGTAGAAGCGAACGGACGGAGTTATACAAAGAGAAAAATCAACAATTTTCTGTAATTTGACCTAGCCGTTTTGTCTTTCAAATTGATTCCACAAGCTCTGATATGCCAAAATTTCGATTCTGCGCCCTCAAATTACCTAGAAAAACAACTTTTGGAATAGAAATTGGTTAATATTAGCTTTTTTAAAACGCGAAAAAAGGTGCGCTAATGGGCTAAGTGCGGAAAAAAGGTGCGCAAATGTCCGGGTGCGGAAAAAAAGGTGCGCTAATGTCCGGGTGCGGAAAAAAAGGTGCGCTAATGTCCGGGTGCGGAAAAAAAGGTGCGCTAATGTCCGGGTGCGGAAAAAAAGGTGCGCTAATGTCCGGGTGCGGAAAAAAAGGTGCGCTAATGTCCGGGTGCGGAAAAAAAGGTGCGCTAATGTCCGGGTGCGGAAAAAGGTGCGCTAATGTCCGGGTGCGGAAAAAGGTGCGCTAATGTCCGGGTGCGGGGGGAGGTGCGCTAATGTCCGGGTGCGGAAAAGGTGCGCTAATGTCCGGGTGCGGAAAAAAAGGTGCGCTAATGTCCGGGTGCGGAAAAAAAGGTGCGCTAATGTCCGGGTGCGGAAAAAAAGGTGCGCAAATGTCCGGGTGCGGAGAAAAAGGTGCGCTAATGTCCGGGTGCGCAAAAAAAAGGTCGCATTTGTCCCACTCCCAAATAAATGAATGAAAAAATGAAAAAAATGGCAAATGGGGAATTTTGTCTGGAGTACGGTAGCACTCGCCGCCGTTTTCGCGTCAAAAACCGTACGTCAATAGGAATCAAAAGGAATCTAACCCAAATCATTTGTATCATTGTTAAGGTCATTATGCAGTTTTCACAAACGTCTATAGGTTTACAGTGTACTTTAATTTCTAATTGTCTTTAATCTAAATTGAACTTAATTTTCTAGATGTGCAGGGAGAACGCGATGCGCGCTGAGAAAAGCCGATGGGAGTTGATGGCACTTTGCGAGTACACGATGACGATCACTTCTGATCTTTTGGCGAGTGAGTGCTTTTGTTTGGCAAGGATCCACTAGCAGAGATCCACTAGCAGAGATCCGCTAGCAAGGATCCACTAGCAGAGGTCCACTAGCAAGGATCCACTAGCAGAGATCCACTAGCAGATCCACTTTTTTGTTTACTTTAACTTTACGTTTTTTGTTTTTTTGGTTTTTAGTGCTCTTTAAAATCATTAAAATTCAGATGACGAAAATCTCGGGCGTTTAATCGAATTCCTCTTTTCCGTCGAAAATCCTTTGTTAACACTTTTCACAGCAATCGTTCAACTTTTCCACAAAACGTGGCGCAAATGCACGCAGTTAGAGTGAGATCGTCAAGGTCAGTGGGGAAAGTGGTTTTAAAACAAGCTTTTGTTGAGTTGAGCATGGAATTGAGCAGACTACAGTCTAGATCACTGTTTTTTGCTGCTTGAGCATTGAATTGAGCAGATTAGAGTCTAGATTACTGTTTAAAAACAAAAAAACAAAGTAAAAACAAGTCAAGCATTGAAGAAAACGACGAAATCGCAATTCCCATCAAAACTCGATGACTTTTATTTCAAATTCACTAAAAATCAAACTTTGGGCCAGTCCGGGGAGTGAGCCCGGGACCTCTCGCACCCTAAGCGAGAATCATACCACTAGACCAACTGGCCGTGCGTCGCTGGAAGAGAAAAGGGTTTTTTCTTTGGGAACGAGAGGGAAAAGGCGATCGCCAGAGGAAAAAGGGGGAAAAGAGGGAATGCTTTGAAAACGTTTTTTTTAAAAACAATTTAAATTTTTCTTTTTAGACTTAATTTTATTATAAAATTGATTGATAATTAGGAAATTTACATTAAAAAAAACGAAAAATTGATAAAAATAAGGGAAAAAACGCTTAGAAAACAAAAGTGAACGGCTGCTACCGGGATCGAACCCGGGATGCCCGGATTGAGACCAGTAGAGATCTAATTTGTCGAATTTAGACGTTTTATAGCTCATCCGAAAGCTGAATTCAAGACGGATCGATTGGTAAAAACCGTTTTGAGATATCTCTTTTCTAAAAGTTTTTACAGCTATTTTAGTAAAGGGCGGCAGAGCCAAAAAAAGCCAAAAATGGCTGTTTTCACGTTTCGTTAGTTTT